AAGTGGACATTGGCATAGCCTCGTGGGTAAACCATGCGCTCGATTCGACCGAAAGCATGCGGCAAAACACTATTAACAGAACGAAACACCTCGATCAAACAGGTGCGAGGAGTGTGACGTCAGTTTACGCGATTTAAGCCATGACATGGGTTAAATGTCAACATGAAACGCCATGCAAGCAATGATTTAATGCTATGTGAAAGCATGTTATTGTCGGGTTTATTTATTTGAGACAAATCACGAAATACCGTTTAACTGACTTCTTGCTGCCCGTTCCGATTAGGTACCTGACTCTCAGAGTGTGGGTTCGAATCCCTGATGGAACCTTACAAAAGTACTAAAAGCTGTACTTTACTGAGAAAGTGTGATCCCAAACATAGCATATGTTACATTTGACCATTCTCTAAGTGGCGTTGTGTATTCATAGCTTTCGGCCGTGGGAGCCGTGCCAATTTACACTTGTGAGAGGGGGCACACAGCGTACGTGACCTAGACTACCAGTTGTCCGACTTCCATTTTGTGGATACTGCGATGGCTGAGTAGGGTTGATGCCTGACTTTGTGTGCTTACTAACTCTGAGTGAGTGAGTGAGTGAGTGAGTGAGTTAATATTTAACGTCACACCTGACTCTGAGAGTGTGGGTTCGAATCCTAGATGAGACTCAACCGGACAAATGTACTAGAATCTGTACTTTATTGAGAAAGTGTAATCCCAAATAAAGCCTATGCTACATCTTGTTTCCGACATTGATGTTGAGGGTAGCCAAAGTCAACCAAGAAGGAGAGATTTACCTCTTTGTTGAAACCCACGACTAAGGGATGAGTATTAAGATCCCAAGCATCAAAATCAGAGGACATCTGGGATTCGAACCAACGATCAGTGGATCTGAACACATCTAAGGGCGCAACTCTGCGGGCCGAATTTAGGGCTTTTGAGGACGGAGCCTTCTGTGTATCAATTTCATGAACCAAACAAGATATTAATGGCGTGTACTAAAATTAATACAATACCAATACGAGATAAAGTGAATGTTATTTTTTTCTTTGACAGAAAGGACAGTTCTTCGGATTCCTGTAACAGCGACAAGGGAGATAATTCAGACTTGAGCACCAACTTGTGAGCCACGGGCTGTCGGTGTGAAAATACGGACTGGTACATAAAACTGAAATGACAATAGCTACCGGGACATGTTGTATAATCTACAGCTTATGCTTATTACATGTGGTCGTCAGCAAGTGTTGCATTACAAATACTTATTTTTATTGATTTGTCACTACACTGTGTATGTTCCCGTTAGTGTGAATGTGGAGAGAGAGTGTGTGAGTGCGATGTTTTATATTTGTAAAATACTGTAGATTTAGAGAAGAATAAAATATCATTTTATGTACATTCTTGTTGTGTGATAATTTGATGCTTATGATTTTCAGTGAGTGATATGAGACTTATGTATCATTGACAGAGTTCTTCTGATGAAACGTGCCTTTCCTTCTATCGATTTTATTTCAACATATACATAAAGCTACAGACAAGACAGTTGTACTGTTGTACTGTTTAGTTACAGAAAACAGTGCTGGTATGTTAATGTATAGTGAACGTGTTTATGTACATGGTCAGAAATATATCAATATCCTTATTATCAATCACTGAAAATAGAATAGCATTTTATTGAATGTCATTTTTGTGTCATTTCTGTGTGTATATTTTTTTTATCAAGAGTACTTTCGAGCAATTCGATGACAATGGTCAAGATATTATTTTGAGGAACAACTGAACAAATGCAACTGTCACAAATGAAACTGCTGAATTGCCCTCATCAAATAGGCGAGTGAACGTGAGTGAGTTTAGTTTTAAGCCGCACTCAGCAAAATTCCAGCTCTAAGGCGGCGGTCTGTAAATAATCAAGTCTGGACCAGACAATCCAGTGATCAACATCGTGAGCATCGATCTACTCACTTTGGATACGATGACATGTGTCAACCAAGTAAGCGAGCCTGACCACCCGATCCCGTTAGTCGCCTCCTACGGCAAGCATGAGTTACCGAAGACCAATTCTAACCTGGATATTCACGGGTCACCAAATAGGCGTACAATACGTGAACAGATCAAAGGTAGCACGTTGAACGGTACAGAGCAGAAAGGGGTTTAATATACCGTACACATTAATAGAAACACAGTCCGCACAACGTTCATGATCAGTAACTTTTTTCTTTTGTTCAGTATATATAATAAGTTTATCAGGCGTTGGAAATTGAGTTATATGCTGTCTGTAAGCGTACAAGCGGCGTTTTGAAACGTGATATTGTATGCATCCAGCTGATAGTTGTCCCCTAGTACGTGAAACGTAGCTGACATGCGGGATCAATTCATGCCATGTTACTATCTGAGATGTGTTGTGGAGAGCATGACACCGTCTAGGAACATCGTTTTAGCTTACGTTGCTTACACTGCCGCACATAAAGCTAAGAGTGAGTGAGTGAGTGAGTGAGTTGGGTTTAGCTTTTAACAATATTCCAGCAATATCACGGCGGGGACAAAGATAACGTGATTCGAACCCGGGTCGTCAGCGTGACGAGCCGACGCTTTAACCATTAGGCTACCCCACCGCCCCTTATAAAGCTAAGTCCAACTGTAAAGATAACGTGATTTTTACTCAAGTGAGAACATATGTGAGTGAGACGCTTTTTACCTTACCCCGGGTTACATATTCCACATGGTTACAATGTCTGCAACGTCTAAGGCGCTTTTCGGGTATCCCGCCGTGAAGTTGTTTGAATGTTAAAACTTCCTAGTAAATCAACTTACTCACTCACTCAGTCTTGCCATAAGCATTTATCAAATGATACCATATTTTTTAATACACACATTGAAAGGTACAGTATATATTTTGTTAGGGTTAAAGGACACAAGGGTATTCGATTCACAGCTCCAGTGAGCCTTTACAGAGACTTATACCTGTACAAAGAAACTGCTAGTGGCTCTCTATTTGTCATGTAAAGTGACGGGAAGGTGTCAGTGCTACTTCAAACTTTTGTCAAAGAGTTTGGACATGACTCTCCTGGATTCTCACACACGTTAGAATCTGGTCGTGTTGGAAAAGAACCATGTCATTTCCAGTGTGTTTGTTAAGAAAGAAGATCTAACGTTGGAGAGTCAAAAGTCACACTGCGTTGATAACTGAGGTGGAGGAACGCGCAGTGTTTACTGTGAACAGCCGTCTGGCAACAAGTCTGTGGTTTGTTTGACGCCTCCTAGAGAACTGGGCCGAATCCTGTTTAAAATTTACAATGTTTTGGTCTCTATTTCATTGCCAATATCCAAACTGATTGCAAAATTGGTTTAGATTAACAGATGAAAAACATCTGAAAATTAAACGCTGTTTAGATAGGTTTAGTTTGTTTCTTTGTTGTTAAATGCCGCAATCATCAATATTCCAGCTATATCACGCCAGTCTGTAAATAATCTGGACCAGACAATACAGTGATTGACATCATGAGCATCGATCTACGCAGTTGGGATACAATGACATTTGTCAACCAAGTCAGCAAACCTGACCACCCAACCCCATTAGTCGTCTTTTACGACAAGCATGGGTTGATGAAAACCAATTCTAACCCGGATCTCCACGGGTTCAGACAGGTTTTCCTTATCGAAGAACATTTATTACCTATGAGACTTGCAGCTAATGCCGAGTCTCCAACGCGCTTAATATAGGGTGACATTCGACCTGGCACGTATCACGAACCGATGATTCACTTTCAGAGTCAGAATCAATACACGCGCCAACCAATACTTTCACGACAGAGAACAAAACAAACACGAGTCTGAAAGCGATATTTACTGATTATTGACTTCAGCTAGAATAATAGGGACAGATTATTCCTTTCTACCCAATACATTAGTATTAATGTCAATACGTTCAACCAATATGTTCGGTACATTAGGAACCATTAATCAATAATCAAATGTCTGATAGTTTGTGACCTTGCAAATCCATTAATTCCTTTTTTCGGATTACTACGGATGTAAATATACTCAATAATGGTTGTCACCCCCCCCACCCCACCCCCACACCTCACACACACCCCACACCCCCTCTCCAATTAAAAGAATTGAAGGTGGTGACAACCATTATTGGCATGAGTATATAAACATCATGTATAAATTACACGGTGTTCCATGTGGCGGTCATTCATGCTTAAAATAGTATCAATGCAACTGTTTACAGAATTAATGTCTTGATAAGGTTATTCCAATACTCAGTCAATGTTATCTACCATTTACGCTTACATATGGTGACATCACTATTTGATAGAGATTCATCGACGCATGATCTTGGTGTACTTCATAGAATTGTTCAACAATTACGGGTTAGTTATGAAGAAAAGACAACAGTGGTCTGTGATAAATCCGTCTAAGCTATGAATCATTTCATCAATATCTACCTGAAAAGAATAGACCTTTCTTGTGAGAGCTGTATGCATGAGGTCATTACACTAGCTAGTAACAGAATTATTATGAAAAATTGCATCCTGGTTGGCATTGGTCTTAAGCAATCCATGCTTGTCCTAAAAAGCGACTCACGGGATCGGATGGACAGGATCGCTGACTTGTTGACGCGTTTATATCCCAATTGCGGTGCTCATGCTGTTGATCTGGTCCTGACTCAAGTATAAACTGACCGGTATATAGCTGGAATATTGCCGGGTGATGTGTCAAACAACAAACAAACAAAAGAAAGAAAACAGAAAAAATACATTTCCAGTAAGCAACATAGATCGGTCTGCAACAATGGATAACATCAAACATTTGCATTCCAAGGGGCTGTATCAGTTAAGGTCTTCAGCTGTTAATGGTTCATCCTGGTATTGAACACCCCGGTCGTAACAAGTACATATGTGACGTTTTATTTCATTACACAGCAAGGTAAAACTAATGAATTGTTTGAGCTGCACATCAGTCGATAAATAGTGTGGTTGTTCCTGTTGGTCGTGGGGTGATACAATCCCTTGGCCAGACATTATCTGGCTCCAAGCCTTTTCCCATACATTGCGATTGGGTCGATAATGAAAGGCGAATCAAGTGTAATGACATTATCGAGTAGTATGTACCGATGAACCTCAAACATAAAGATTAGGTAACTACAGTTCAGATGCCTAACAGTCTCTTGTCGACTTCATTTGGAAATGAACTATTTTTTCCAAATGTACTCCCAACTGTCTTTCTTTGTGTTCTTGATGACCAGTCTGTGCCATTGCGTTGTAAATTTAGACATAGCTGATGAGTTGAACCTGATCAATGATGTCATCGAAAAGCGTTCAATGTTCTCCAAATGTGATCCGCAAATTGGAAGGAATGTGTCCGTCAATGTCATCTTTTACCCTCAGTTTATCGTTGGACTGGATGAAAGGGAACAAGTTCTTACCTCAAGTGGGTGGATCGACCTGTGGTGGACGGATACGAGATTAACGTGGAATGCTAGCAATTATGGCGGAATCGACAAAATGTATGTAAAGCAAAATATGATATGGATTCCGGATATCATTACCGAAAATTCTGTCGCAGGTCTTAGTATCTTGGGATCTGGTCAGGATTTTGTTCTGGTTCATTCCAGCGGAGAAGTTGAGTGGTCACCAGGAAATATTTACAAAACTGTCTGTGAAATTGATGTTGTAACATTTCCATTTGATTCTCAGGAATGCTTTTTAAATATCACCTCATGGATGTATTTCAATGATGTTGTAAGACTTGTGACCACAGATGATTCCATTAATATGGATTTTTTCAAGTCGAACTCTGAATGGATATTGTCAAACATATCAATCCTTGAAACAGATTTTGTTTTCCAAAATGTCGACGGTGCACAGGGGAGTATAACCTTCGTTTTTAAGCTGAAACGTTATAGTGCTTTCTATGTCCTCAAAATAATCATCCCGGCTATCATCTTATCCATTTTGAACAGTTTTGTGTTCATCGTTCCACCTGAGTCTGGAGAGAAAGTATCCATGTCCGTGACCACCATGCTATCTCTGACAGTGTTCCTCAGTTACATCGGTGACATTACCCCCAACAACTCAGAGAGCATCCCTATCATTGCTCTGTTTGTTGTCCTTCATCTTGCCCTGGGAGCCTTATCCATCATCTGCAACATCCTCATTTTGAACATACATTACAAAGCCAGGAAGGAAAAAGAAATGGGTCATTTAAGAAAGGAAACAATAGTCAAAAGGACAAACAAAACTGAACCTGCCGAAATGAATATGGACACAATACCTGAGAAAGAGATAATTTCAGAGCGTACGGTGGGTCAGTGGGCCTTGAAAATTATGAGACACATTGATATTTTTTTCTTTGGTTTCTTCATATTGCTGTCTGCAGGAGTGACGATTGGCTGTGTAACTATGATGTTAAATTAGTGTGCAATGGGCCATAAACATTATGAGACACATTAATACTTTTTTCTTTGGATTTTTCATGTTGGTATCTGCAGGTGTGACGATTGGCTGCTAAGCTATAATGTTGAATTAATGGTTCCATGTGCCATAAAAATGATGAGACAGTGATAGTGTCTCTGGGCGTTTTTCACGTTGCTATCTGCAAGTGTACAGTTGATCATTTAAAATTTAGGCAAGCAATTTCTTAATAATCACGGCATGCAACTGTACATGTAACACGTAGTGTATCTACATCTAATGTCAGTAATGACATTTTGGCCTACTTACATGTTGTGTATAGTGTCAAAGATTCGTTGCAATTGAGAATGATAAAATATTCACAATGAAGATGTATCCTTTTTCAGTTCACGCACTTGTTTTGATGTAACAGGAGAAGCAGTATTTCAGTTATGTAATAGAAACTATCAGTATGATGTGGGAATACTGTCCAAAATGACTATAAAGCTAGCTATATGGTTTGAGCGCTAACATATGTAAACACTAGGTACGTTGATAAGCTGGTGGGTTATTGGGTTTTATGCAACGTATGTTGATTTAAGAAATGGAAGATGCCTAAATAGGTGTCCAGTGTTATGAGTGTAATATATGAGTGAATCCATAAGATGTTAATATATATCAATATCCAGTGTGTGGTTATCAATTGAAGATCCATCTGTTGCATACACTGACAACCACGAGTGTAAGTAAGTATACATTTATATTGTAATACATATGCGCGCGCACACGCACGCACACACACACACACACACACACCACGATTACACACATTGTCAACAATGCTGTAAACAATGCATAAGCAGTTGTGAGTGAATTTCGTAATGGCAAAGTATGGGAAAAGACAAGTAAAGGTTGCGTAAGACACGGAAAGGGTCAGTTGCATTAATGGAGTAAATTCATTTGTGTTCGTATGAACAGAATATGTTTTATCCTGATTCCTTTGATTTCTAATGTTCAACACTAAACTTCATTTGATCGTCACAGTTGTTCATATGTCTGAGTGCTTGACGTTAAGCCCGTTTAGTATCCTTTGGATGGTCAACCCTGTCTCCGGAATATCCCTTTCTCACTATATTATAGAGATACATTTGCAGTTGTAAGAAGTAAATACGACGATTTTAGACCCTGAATTGAGTTGGGCATGTGCAGTTGACACACTTGAATTGAATCACATGGGGTTAACACATTTGTTTCTGATAACATGCAATCAGCTGGTTCGCCCATCGGCCTCGAAACTACGTTAGACCATGATTTTGCTGACACATTGACACGACAGAAAGTATGTTTTCAGCAACACCTCTTTTCGTATACCCACCAATTAGGCAATTAGAAAATTCTTCAATACTATTTGTATTCAGCAAAATAGAAAGTGCATTGTTAAAGTCAGCATGGCTCAACTTGTGCCGCCACCCTATCACCTGCTGTGAAGTCATGGCACACAAAACACAGAATTCCGATGTTTGGAGTTCTGGACTCGTAGCGGCCATTTGTACAAAATACATCGTTTACTTTTCTCTGGGGATGTGTGATGAAATAATGCGTGATTGCATGGTGTCTCAGTTTCAAAAAGTAATTAAATATCCAGATTTAATCTAATCATCGTTCAACCTTCTGTAAGTAATAGGCTCAATCGATACCACTTATCAACTTATCTGTAACCAAAGAGTCTAGAAATATTACATTAGCAACAAATTGGGTTATCTATTAATTATGTATATGTGTATCCAATGTTATAATACCAAATTGACTAACTGATTCTACCTTTTGTGTAAATAGGATTTTACATGAACACAGGGATTTAGATCAATAGTTCCATTTTGGAGTTCATTAGGGGCTTGAAATCACAATTAGTTGATGAGGTGGGCACATTCTGCTGCTCTGATTACGATAATTAAAGGCTGCATATAAATACACGGACACCTATAATACAACACTCTTCCAGAAGAATAAGAATACACTTTGAATGTCGATGGAAAATGCAAATACATTTTTACTTCATAACATTCTAAGTATTTGTAAAAGTTGTTGTTTTTCTAGTTCATAAAACGATGGCTTGGCCGGTACCATGCATTGTAGATTCATGTACTTATTGAATGAAAATATAATCATATTAAGACAAATTATTGTTATAACAAATATTATGCACAAAGGACTGGTTAACTGACACGTGTATCCTGGCTCCAGTGGTGTTCTTGGGTTGACTTATATGCAACATGTGTTTTTTTATCATTATATATTGATCACCGCTGTGGTAAAGTGGATAGAGAGGAAGACCGATTGTATGATCCTGGTAACACCATATCGTCAGAGGTAGTGCTGCTTTTCTACCTGGTGTTCGGTATTAGAGTGATTACAGAGGTATATAAGTGGGTTCGTAGTAGGGCTGTGCAATATTACCGGTAAACCGGTATATACCGGTACAGTATCTCGCGATACGATTATCGCGATATGGTTCAGATTCTGCAATATATCGGGTCATCCAGAGTTAGCTCCCTTTGCATTATCTGCCTTTGATTTCCAAGCGAAATAATGTGCTCTAAAAGTGCCAAATATACTCTTGTCTCTGTTGGTTTCATGTAACATTTTACAAGTGGGAGTATCTTTATAAGTGGCTCCAAAAGTGCCAAATATTCTACCAAATGCGTTACGTTTTGTGGGTTTGAATGGTTTCATATGTGACATTTTGGAGGAATTAAGCACAGTGTATGATCCCATACAGTGCAAACCGGATATAGTGCGCTGTACGCTCGTGCTTTGGTTCATAGATTTGTCGTCTGAACAGCTATGCTCGATCAAAAACGTGTACTTAAAGACAAAGTACAGTATAACTTTACATGCAAAAAGGCTGCGCTACAACATTAGATAACTTCGATATATCAGTTACAGTAATTATTAGCTATTTTTCTCACCTCTTGCGCATCGGGCCAAATTCGACAAACTTGTGCGCTTTCGCTTTTACTCACATATACCATCATGTTAGCCTAAAGAGCTGCCAGTATTCTATTTGTAATAGATTTTACAATGTATGTGTGAATTTTCATGTTTCAAAGTTGTTTAGTTATGACGATATCAATGAATTCACTGGCAACAATGCAGCATCACTGTACTGGATTATAGCCGAAACTGTTTGTTTCTCTGTATGGAATATAGCGCATATAGCTGAATAACGTCCTCACTGAGAGCTTATTCAGAGGTGCGCTTTATTGATATATTTGGACACATTCAACGTATGTATATATTGTACTGGTATATCTTGTTTTGAGAGAACTTATTACGAAATCATATTTGGAATGTCTCCAATCACAAGTTACAGCTTTCAGAAATTTGTCATGTGCAGGAGTTACTCCAACTCTGAGTTGTCTCAACTGTCTAACGTGACCACTGCAAATCTTATTGACATCATGACCTAACGACTTGAACTACTCTTTTTTGTTCGTCTGGACATTCGGTAACCTGTTCTAATTCACGAAATTCCAAACTGTTAAACAGTTCTTCACAACTTTCCAAAATACGAACTTCCCGTGATACTTAACATTTTCCAATGAGAGTCGGATGCTCCTAAACCCCATATAAATCAACGTCCCCTAACTTTCCACCCGTACAGACATTGGTTTTCTTTCAATAAACACAACCTTTGTAAGTGTTAACCTGTTTTGGGTCAGTTTTAGCAATCCTGTCCTGCATTTGCAAGAAGGTACAAGTTGGTAGTCTTCAAAAGTACCTTTCATTCTGTCCAGAACAGTCTTATCGGGAACTGCGAAGTTTGTTTTGGAATCATTAGGAACATACACACCACTAGGGACTTTTCCCTCTGTCACTGTGCCGGTGTTTTTCAGCCCAATTCTCCAAAAACACTTGTAACCTCCCTGTATCTCATCAGTACCGGGTTGTGGAGTGAATACCACGATACCACTTCAGAAAACAGCATGAACGCAATATTGTCCATGGGAAATGAATTTGAAGCAACCAATCGTGTAAAATTAAAGGTCACATGCAACGTAAAACACAACTTTGCAGATTCCGTTACCTTTCGGTATGGACTTACAGATACAAATCATCAAAACTTCAACTAATAAACTTGGAATATAACGCGATGAAAAAAACCCCGCGAAATCGGAGTTCAAACGATTCACTAAATTCACCCCAGCGCTTGGGGTGAAAAGTGCTTTCAACAGCTGTGCCTTCGCTGCGCTGGGCTGGGCTGCGCTCATAGCACTTGCGCAGTGAAATAGGTTCGCGCAGCTTGGAAGCGGGATGTCCGGATTATAAGGTCGTGAGCAGGAGTAGTCTAATCAAAACAAATAGTAAATAATCTACTCATTACATAAAAGAACCTTGTTAGGATCTAGATCTACTCAGCTATGTGTCAACCAGTGAGGCGTTCGGCATTTCAAGACGGAAAACCTTCGCAGGCAGTGAATACTCGGTGAAGGCTTTGATGTGAGCTATTTTTATAATGTTTTGTTGATATTTCACAGGCGCGAGCTTTTTATATGTTATGACAATAGATTACCGATTTAACTGTTTATATAATTTTTTTGTCTATTTCACCACACGTTCTTCTTACCCAGTCACTTTCTCAGTTCGATACTTAAAAGCAATGTCATTATTTAGCATTGACAGAATTTCTAACTGTGATATAGATATGTCGTTGTCACAGACAAAACTCTATGTCTGTTTTATTGACACCTATGTGTCTGCCTGCCTGTCTGCTAATGACAATATTCAATACACAACTTCGATCGCTGACCACATGCAATTTGTACCGGGCTATACACCATAAACAAAATGCATTGATTTATGGCCCGAGTTCGGTCTCTGTCGCATTATGTAATTACACAGGCAGGCAGGCAGGTGTGATACATGTACACATAACATGTTATGATGTCTGTTGATTGCAAAATGTTATACACAAAACATGAGCATGTATTTACAAAACCCAGCATCTACACACACACACACACACACACACACACACACACACACACAATGAGCCGTGAGGGCATCTGCAAATGAACCAGCCGTTACACTTGAGTGCACACCCACCCGCTCTGACTGGGTTCGGTATCCCGGCTGCTTCGTTTCGAGGGAAGTAAACCCAAGTACAAAATATTGCACTTTGGATTTGCGATTGTACGCTTATAATTTTGTTTATTTGTTTTTTTCATAATCAGCAATGTATATTATATGTCATGAATAAGTGATAATTGTGTTTTAATTATGTTTGATTTTTTGGTTGCATGTGACCTTTAAGAAACAGTTTATCATGCCCGACGTCTTTTAAGTTATTTTAGACTAGTGGAAGCAATTCTATCATTTCTTTCACAGAACCTCCATCAAACCTCCCACATGCAGGAATAACAATTGTCGACGAGGTCCGAGTGCTAGCTTCATGCGGGGAAAATGTTTTTGTATTCCCATCTAGGTCCTCTGTTAACTCATTCATTGACAAGGCTTGCATCTGGCCAAACACACCCTCCTTCATATCACATTTAGACTTTTTCTTAAGGGGACTGAATACTTCAGTTTGAAATTTTGGGTTTGAAGAAAAAAAATTAAGATAAGATATTCGAATTTGTATTTTAATTCACTGGGTGGGTG